TTTTTTTTTTTTTTTTTTTTTTTTTTTTTTTTTTTTTTTTTTCCCCCCCCCCCCCCCCCTCCTTGGATATATTATTGTTTATTTCTCTCCGAAAATTTGAACATCACTTCGGATTTAAATTTGAATAACTAGTAGAGGTAATGGACACTGAATTTTTAAAGCCAAACGCATTCAAACGCTTTTATCATCATCAATTTCAATTTATCAATTTATTTATTTATTTATCAATTTATTTATCAATTTCATTACTTTTCGATGAATATGGTTTATCTGTTGTGTTTCAAACGCTTTTGCTTCATTCGCGGCATCAACTATGAATAAATCAGTTACTGAGCTAAATTTTTGCGCCATCAGCATTTAGTTTTATTAATTTAAAATATTATTATTTAGGACCAACCACAAAAATTTTATTTCAACCCATTTTGATTAGATACAATTTCTTTGTTTTATGTTGTTTTATGCTGTTGTTATAAGCATATAGCTATTGACCTATTCAATTCTTCATAAATAAATCGCCATAAATCATGCAAACATATATTATATATATTACATATGAATTGTATATAAATTATATATATATTTTATAAATTAAATTGTATGTAATATACATAATTTATATATATAAGTTATATATATTATACAACAATAATGATAAACTACGACAAAATTCGATGTATTAAAAATGAAATATCTGTATCAGTGATAATTAGCTGTCTTATCTTATGACTTAATAAAGAGTGATGTGGCGATAATAACGATATCAATTTTCTGGATACAATCATCGAATATGAAATTTGAATTATATGTTGTCTTACGAGATGGAGTGATTTGTGAGAAAAAGCAAGAAAGCAATATCGATGATGAAAAGAGATCTTGGTGAATACAGCTCAAGCAGCTTGATACGATCAAAATAAAATACGATTTATGACCGATAATAAATAACCAATTCATGGAATTATTATAATACGATCGAAAAGCTATTAATAAGCGACAGATTGGACATTTACTGTCGGCAATAGAGGATTAATAATAACTGTATTTGGCAGTAATCGTCGTATTGCTCTTATTGACTGATGATGATTCCTTTATGGTCAAACGACAATTATTATTAAAAATATAAGCGTATAAAATGAAAAGCTATTTGCATATTACTTTGTCATGTAAACTATAACAAATATCATGCATGACAATGCATGTTAAACAACTTATAATCAACTATAAACAACTTTTGTGCTATAGGTTGCCTGATAGATAATTATTTATCGTTAAAATTTATTATCGGAATTTCGAAATTTATTTATTAAATTAAATTATTATATATTTATTAAATAAAATTTGTCAAATATAAATTTATTCTAGTCGCTTATTTGCAAATTTTATTTATTATCATATTATTATTTATCACATACCTTTTATTTTATCATTTTTATCATTTTTAGAACGTTTACATACTTATTATTTTTATCGTTGTTACAATATTACCCTTATCATACACCTTATATCATCATATCATATATTTATTTTTGCTTACAATAAATAGTTTAAATAAGTTGTTAGCGAACATCACTTCTGGTTAGGCTCCCTCTACTGACTATTGGTATGATGAGAAATCTTTTTGCAAGAAAATCATTTAGCATGATTGAAGAAACAAAGGGGATAACAGTAATTCCTGGATTCTTTAATGACAAGTAGTTGGCCAAAAAAGTATGTCGCTTGAATATGTGAGTGCCAAATTTATCCTATTTTCTTCCACATGTGCTCATTAAATAAATGGTTTTCGAAATGCATGTATCAGATAATTATGAAATTAATTAGCTTCTTCAAAGCTAATTTAAGAAAATATGTTCAGGATAAATTATTAAAAATTTTTTATCAAACCAGTCCATTATTCTACTGTATTTATCTTCTCTTTCTAACAGCTCTTTCTATTACTGGCTAGGCTGGCTACAGAGTAAGACGCTTTCAAGTAAGACGCTTTCAAGCGGTGCAATCTGATACCATCGTCGGCAGTAAGACATTCCTTTTCCCACCTAAGTCCATACATTGATGGTCCACCTATAAGTTCAAAATTTTTTCTGGACGTATCAGTCCAAGTCTTGATTGGCCCACTTCGCTTTTGACGTCACCCATCACACGATTTAGCAAGTAACGAAATACACGTCAATTCGTGCGGTGTGCGACGGAGAACGTGTCCTAACAACATTCTGTGATGGCAGAGTTAATGCAAGTGGTATTTAAGCGAAGATGGATGCGATCATGTGAGATTTTATCCACTCGACGAACCCGTAAAATATACCTTAGACATCAGTGGTCAAGGGCAGATAGCTTCTTAATACCCTCCATTCTCATTAGCCACGTCTCAGAGCCATATAGCAAGATCGAACGAATCACTACATTGCATTTTTCACAAATATTGAACAATAAGCCTGACAGCCTGATAAATTAAATAATCATCTATTGCAAAATATTCTAAGATATATAATAAAAATTGAACTTATTCGATGAAATAGAAAGGGAAAAAATCTTACAATATTAATAATAATTTATAATAATAATTTTACAATATAAATGAAGCTCATAATTTTCTTCAAGAATTTCCACAGTTAGATAATTGTAGATTAGATTGGCCAAGAACTGGAGTTACACAATCAGAAAACTGATATAATCAGGAAAGATTTTGAATATATAGGGGGATCGGCGATATATGGACTTGTATGGAAAAAAGAATGGTTTCTATTACTACTAGCGATAGCGTATAGATTTAAGCAACGAAATTTTTAAGACGGCCAACTCTTCCTTTAAGAAGGGTCGTCTGTGGCAAAAATTAATTCAGCCTTACGATAGAAATGAATGAAAATATAATTTAATCAATGCTCGAGAAATTCGAAACAAATGCCTAGCCTTAATATAAAAAAGAATTACTTAAAAAAAAAAATAAAAATAAAGCTAAGGACGATCACTGAATGTACCTTTACGAAGGAACAATGGATATTGGTAAAAAGAAAGCAAAATTTTTGCTATGGCTAAGACTTACGGTTACGGTTAAACTTACGACCAATGTTGATTGTATTTTAAAAAACCACCAACGATTCCTTTGGACCAAAAATGCACTTCTAACTTATAAAGTAATATAACTTATCATATCACTTTTTCTTCGTGGCTTTTTGCAGATAATTGTCCAAACACTAGCACCTCCATTTGAATAATGGATTGAACAAAATAATTTCCCTTTTTTTTTTTTTATTTTATAAATGCTTACTTAGAAAAATTCTAAGGAATCACGAAAATCAAACTAACCACCAAGCGAGAGCGTTCGCTATAAGAGTTAAAATCAAGTAATAATGTATAAATTTGCATTTCATTTATATGTTTGGCTTAGAAGGTAGATGAAAGTGAGGTCGACACGATCCAGCTGACAATATTAAGTGAGGGAGCAATCTTCTCAAAATCTTATATCGGAAGACGAACACCGCCTATTACTGATTTTTCTTTAAGGAAAACGCATTTTACGACCAAATGCGAGCAGCAGCCATCCACTTTATTACTTATTTCAGACCCGCCGTTATTTTATTCATTTGTGGTAATCATCAATTAACTAGGGCAATATTCGATATGCGCAAATTCGAAAAATAAGGCCTATTGTTAGCCAATTAATGAGCACCATACACCAAAATGGATTCCACTTGTTCTTTGAGAATGCCATTAAAAATGAAGTACTGATACTGCAATTCACCACCAAGAAAGAACTGCCACTGATATCACTTCGATCTCGTATCCTATGCTTTCTAAAGCTAAGATTAGCAAAAATTTACACGCATCACTTTTATTCTATTCTATTTTATTCCAAAATTCTATTTCCTCTCCATTTTTTTGGTGCCTTTATATTTTTTTTAAATGATAAATCTGCGGAAAAATAAAGTGGCAAAATATTTTCAAACTCCACGAAGTTGTCCCAAAATTTTTCATTCAAATAAAAACGAAACAATAAGCTGCAAAGAAATGAATTATTTGTACTAAAAAACAAGAAAGGAATAAAAGTGACCTGAAAACGATTAAAAACTGATTTACAACCTTGCTTTATTCATATTTCTTAACGAAAGCAATAATAAACGCACTGCAAAATTTAAAAAAATTACTTATTACAATAGATATATTGAATTTTTTTGAAAAATTTCTTCGATAATGCTTCAATAATTTTCAAATTACAATAATAGTATTATAATAAAAATTACAATAATAATTGTAATAAATTAGAAAAACTTTTTTGTATCGTTTTCGATTTGTAGTAATTTCTTTTATTCATCTTTTAAGACTAGCAAAATTATGGCAGACAGCTAGATAACTATGGTTTTATTTTTAGATAATTAATTATGGTACCTATTTCACACAGTGGTTTATATCATCGATATAAAAAAATAAAAAAAGATCAAATTAGAACCCTTGAATATATTATTTTGACAAACTTGTTTCAAAAGTAACCGTTTTAAGATCTTGAAAGGCACCAATCTGTTCATGTTTCTGCAATTATTTAATATTTTTCAAAAGACTTTTGTATTTCAGAGAAATTGAAAAAAAAAGAATTAAATCCTAATTAATTCTAAGAAAACTTCAAATTCTCTGCAAAATAATTAAGAAATTTAAAAAAAACTTTTCCCGTTTCCATATAACGTCAAAAACTTAATATCCAAAGACTTATGGTTTTTGTCCTTGTACATAGATAATATACCTAAATGTTTAACTTTTAGAAATTCTGATGGCCCTTATGGAGCTAGGAACGTCAAAAATAATAGCATATAAATTATAGCTGATAAGTACCTTGATAGTTTCTTTAATTGTCCTCATCATCCGCAAAGCAGTGTGTCGAGACTCAGTTTTTGCACTCCAACATTCACCCATTAAAACGCAAATACAATTAAGACAAGGCTTAAAATGACAAGGCTTAAGGTAGAAAAAATTGATAGAGAATAAACTATCTTGCAAAAATGAAAAGAATTATACATCTCTGGTCCAAGATTCCTCAATAAATGGTCTTTGCCCTTGTACACAAACAACACAACGCATTTGTTCAACAGATGGATCAGAATCGACGATGCCATCAAAGGGTTGGACAGCAGGTCGTGCTTTGACTGACTGAAAATAAAGAGATGAGGAAAAGTAAAAAAAGACAAAAATTGAAAATTTTGATGTAAATTCGATGTAAAAAATAATAATAAAAATTTCCGATAAAACTTTTTTTTAAAACTATTCCAAAAACAAAACCAGAGTGTCATCAGAAGAGATTGAAGTTTGTATAGGGAAATAGGTTCTTGGTCTGTATAAGCCTGATTTAACACTCGCATTCCAACTGTCAACAGAATGAATAGAAGAAAGATTCTTGGCAGATGCACCACTACTACCACTACCGCTACATCCAATCCCACTGTCGCTACCGGATATCCTTGCCGCAGACGTGTCTTCCTACAAATAATTAATAATTTACTTTTAGCACTGACTTCATAGCAACAAAAAAAACGCTATACAGCTAGAAGAAAGAATATTAAATTATTAAATTTTAATAAGCACCTGAATACGGCGAAGAATTTCCCATATGACCAAAGCAAACGAATATATGTCAGCCATTTTAAAATGATGAAAATTTCTGGAATTCAATGTTTTGTCAAGAACTTCAGGTGCCATATAGCGTTTTGTTCCTACTTGGATGTTGATCAATGCCTTACTCTTCACCATATCGTCACTGAAAATTTTTGCTAAATTTTTAATATAATGGCTTTATAGCAACTTTAATTTCTTATAAATTTCACCCACGATGGTATTACCTGAAAAAACACATAAGTTTCTCCTCCATTTTCATTAATGTTTGTTGATTCCAGCTGATTACTAACCCTATTCGATCAAATATTGCTCAAAGAAATACCTCAGTGCCAATCCAAAATCAGCAATGCAACAAACTCCTGGTCGCTTTACAATGATATTTTTGGATTTAATATCTCGATGTGCTATTGCTGGTTTCTGAGGGGTACCTGTACCTCTCAGTGAACTATGCAAATGTTCAATACCACATGCAGCACTAAACAAGATTTAACAAGATTTTAAACATAAATGATGAATAAAATGTTAAAAATTATTATCTTGCTGATATAATTAATATCTTGCTGCTACTAAACAAAACTGAAAAAACCTATGTGCCAGATGCAAAGCTTCGCTAACTGAGAGTGTTTGCCCTCTCTGTAAATACTCAAAAAGAGATCCAAATTCATGATAGTCCGTAATGAGAAGCATTCGCGTGATAGAATCCTCACTTCCAATATCGGCAGCCACGAATTCTGAAAAGTAATATACAATAAAGAGACCAAGGAAGTTCAAATATGTATTATAATTCAAACTATAATCCAAAAAGTGGTTACTAAAAGGCTAATTGTTGTAATTGGATATTTTGATCCAATTAATTTTTCTAACTTACGCAAAATATTTTCGTGATTCAACATTTGTGTCTGGTAAATTTCTTTCTCATTCTTCCATGAATCTTCTTCAGTCGTATAAAACGTCTAAAAGCTTGTATTTTGAAGAAAAACCTCTAAGGAAAATATATATTATATATTAAAATATATAATATATATTAAAATATATTAAACAATTAGAACAATTCATAAAGAAAAGGTCAAAATAACCTTGACAGCAACAAAGCGGTCTCCTCTATAAAGCGCTTTTTTTACTTCGCCATATCGACCTTTACCTATCACACAAAGAAAATGAAGATTCTGAGCAACAGTCCGTTGATTCAAACTAGCAAATCCAGAACCAGAACCGCTGCTAAAAATTGAAGAGTGGAGGAAAGAATAAAAGAAAAATGATAAAAATGATAAATGAATGATAAATGATAAAATGATAAAAATGATTTAAATGAAAAACCAAAAAGAAAATGAAAATACTATCGAAAATAAAATGAAAATAAAAATTGAATACTACATGAAGGAAATATCTTCAAATTCAGATGCACCTGATGAAATCCTCTCATATTCTCTTAAAACGTCTTCGAATCCTACTATTACACTCGCTTATTCCATCTTGGTACCCTCCATCTTCTCTTATAGCGCACCAGTATGCCTAGTCCTTGCCATGTACAATTTTATAATTAATGATCCAGAAAAATGCAGCAGTATTTGCCAGTGTTGAAATAAAAAAACTGAGAGCATTAATGGATATTTACGGAGGTTTGAACAAATAATCTGGAGTATGAGAGTGCAGCCGCATTCCTTTTTCATTGGTCTTATATATAAAATACCTGATATCAGGAAGCATTGGAGATTTATCGCCAATATCAAGAATATCAAACGAAGGACGCTTCAAAGGCTTCAACTTCTTTGCTATAACAAAAATTTATACGATATTAATTACAAAAATTACGATATTAATTATAATTACAAAAATTTCAAAAAAAACTGGATTCCTTATCTTTTTTGAATATTGCAGGATTTATGCCCATAATTAGACAATGCCATTTCACCTTTTAACCTTCTGATTCTAATATTTACAATTGATTCTGATATAAATTATTATCACCAAATTATCCTTTTAAAGAAAGGCCAAATAATTACAATGGAAAGCATAGAAAATTTTTTCTTACACATTAAATAACAAACAATAATAAAAAATTAGATTTTTAAAAACCACTAAAAACCATGGTCAATTGATGTGCAATAGGGTAAAGAAAGATTGAAAAATAGAAATTAAGTGGAAGAATTGAATAAGAATTTAAATTTGCGTAAAAAATACAACAATTAAAGTAAGATTTTACTTTTTGAACTTTAAAAAATTTACTTAAATAATCTTGCTTCCACCATGCCATTAAAAAAACGATAATCGCTAGGCAAAAGACCACTGTAAATATAATCAAGACGGCGAAAAAACGGGACGGCAGTTTTGGTTCAATTATGAAGCCTTAAAAAATTCCAAAAGTATTAATTATTCAATAATTTTATAAAAAATATTTTATATAACTTTTATTGTATATTTACAAACACACATTTTAAAAATATTCTTCACATTTGAATACCTTCAGGAGATACGTTCTTATAAGGAGGTACAGTCAAATTTGCATTGCAATATGCTCCTTCATAACAACAAGCTATACTTTTTGGCCGTGCATGAGCTGTTAGGTGTGCTTTACACTAAAATTTCCTTCAAATATTGAAAAAATATTAAAAATGAAAGAGAACGTATATATATCTCACAGTATTTTAGCGCAGAGCAAGGTATTCTCAGTTTTATGAATGAAATGACAGTTTAATACTTGTAATTTAATATTTTGACCTAATGTTCCAAGCTTTAAATATTTTTAATATTAAACTTGATATTCACAAAATTAAACTGAAAAACTGTCAAATATAAAGACAACCGTAAAATAAGAGCCACCTGACCCTCGAGTCAATGGCGCACAACCATAAAGATGCAAAGTTTCCATTTTTCTCGATGTATCATTAAAAACCTAAGAAAATGGTAATTTATTAGATTCAATAAATGAAATAACTATGGCCATCTTCATATTTTGGTGACATCTTTTAATTATAAAATTTTCATTATTAAATATCTAATTATCAAAAAAAAGAAAGAATAAATTTCTAAATAATTCTAATAAAATTAATCATACTTCTTCCGTGAAATGAAAACATGCGGCCTCAATATGCTTGATACAAGTCCAATTCGAAAACGCCCCACAATATTCACTATCATAATTACAAAAACATAAACTACGGTCATCTTCATATTTTGGTGGCATCTTAAAATTTTCATTATTAAAATTTATTCATATATTCCTTTTAAAAGATAATAAATTTTATAACAAGGATGAATCTGTTTTAAAAAATGATATTTTTTATTAATCATTTGCGATCACTTCACTAATATCACCTGGCTCAATGCTAAATCTAAATTCGTGAGGAGTTTGATCACATTTTTTTATATTTTTAGTTCTACCAGAAATAGAATAACAGAGGCTAAATGCTCTTATTACAAACCCAATGCTCCAGCTCTACTCCCAACAAGAAATCTATTTTTGAAAATCCGGGATGATAGCGACTCAACTATATTGCAGATTGACTCTCTAGTAAAATCAAAATGGAATCCTAAGTCTTGTTTGACAACAGCCGAGCGAGCTTAATTAGGAATGGGGAACTAGAAAAAAATTTTATCTATTAATCGAAACCGATATTTCCTTGTCCTTTTTCTTTTAAGAATTTAAATTGTAGTATAAAAAGAATTAAAGTAAGAAAAATTACTTTGCAACATCATAACATAGTAATTATAATAAGAATAAATCTATTATTAAATCCGATTGATGAGGACTATCTGGGCTTCAACTCTAAGTGACTCTATATTGAAAAAATGAAACAAGTCTCAAATACTCTAATGGATATTATATTCTTACCTCGGTAGTGCATACAATAAATCGAACTTAGAATCGGCGATGGTAAACTGAAGGAATTACTCAAAGTATCAACTGAGGAAATGTGCATTTGACATCTGCATGGAACAATTTCTTTTTTCTTTTTAAGAGTCCTCACCATTACTGGTTAAACTCGCTCCACTAGCTTGCCTCATTGAGCAATATGCCTGGGAGCCCCTTGGCGGTAGAAGTACAAGTGAGTGACCCGGATTTTTGTACGGGTTTGCTCCTGAAGGGAATCGAACAGCAGCTTTAGCTCCAAATTAAGCAACAACCCACTGAGCCATCCTATCCCCAATTATGGATGTGGGATTATGGGCAATCAGAGTAATTATCCACATTTTATCCAAATGCAGACTTCACTTACTTATCAAAAGACCTTTTCCTTAGGATTAGAGTAGTAATTAGATTTGATTCGGAAATATCTGCACCACAGTGAATATTCAAATAACATAGAAAAATTATGCCTCGATTGCTAAATTTATCAAATTTATCAGTTGCCATGTCAAATCCAAAAGAGCATGATCAACTCTAACCACATAGTTTAAAATAAGATAGCATACGCCCAATGCTAGAGCGTTCGTCAGAAAACGATATTTATCAGTGGTTCTATAGATTTGTAACGATGCGATAAGACCGGATAAAACTGATAATGAAAGAATATGGCTCTGAATATGTAAGTTCCACAATTTAAACCTGGCTAGAGTATACACAATTCCATTTCATAACTGTGAAAAACATATATATATATATATATATATTATAATTATCTTAGTAAAATGCAGCACCAACTTTATGTTCATCCTGCTTTCATACCACATAGCTAATGATTTCTCCAAGGCCATTTTCCTTGTTGTTCATAGCAGGAAATAATGTATATCTTACTACTTGCTAAGCCTTGTGGTGGAGTGCCAAAAGCCAAAAAGACCAAGTAAGACCTGGGAATGATGAAAGATTTTAAACATATAGGCGGTGTATTAACGATATATGGACGATGTATAGACGGTAGGGATTCAATTAATTTCAAATGTGTGTCATGGAAACGGAACTATTGAAAACATCTTATTCGAGACCAATATTTTTAAATAAAAGAATTTAAAACTGAAATCCGAGCGATCACTGAATGCGCCAGTGGTACTTTGCCTCATCCCCAGTGAATGTAAGAAAAGAATTTCCCAGTGATATAAATAAGAAAAAGAAGTCCAATCTGATTCTGAATGGAAATTATCTGATTTGACTTAAACGAATATAACCAACATTTAATCTTTTCTGATTTTCGACGGATTCATAATCGACGGACCTCGTTATTCCTTGCGCGTTATTTGGGATTGATAATTCACTTTCCATTGCATAATTTTCAGAAGAATCATCGTCATATTGCCTTCCTCAAAACCGACCATTCATTAATTTAATTTCTCATTAACAATTTAAAATGGATGTAAAGATGAGAAATCCGAATTTACTGCTTTAAAGAAGATAAGTTGTAAATTATTACAAAAATTAAACTTTCTCTACTTTTCAAATTTTAAAAAAAATATTGGGGAAACTGAGGCTGAAGAGACGAGAAATTATGGTTTAATTTCAGCCAGAGGGAGTCACCAAAAAACCAAAACGGGTGATGCTGGATGATTCAATTAGTTCCTTCAGAGACTCACAGGCGAAGCTGTTCTCGAGTAATTTTCTTGTAAAAAATTCGAGGGGAATTTAAAATAAATAAATAGAAATAACAATAATAAAATTAGAAAAAACAAACGTTTCTCGCTGAGAATCGCATGTGAAATGGTAAAAATCGTTAAAAAAATGGCAAAGCGTACGATTACGAATACCATATCTCCTTAAATCATAACGAAGATTGATTTCACCTCGATTTCGAGAACTTATTTCTTATCATTTATCACTGTGATTTAACACTTTTACTGAAACAGAATTTCAATTAGCCTTTTTTTCAAAACAGTTTTCTCGAAAGGAAAGGCCGCGCAGAGATTATACCATAAATGCAACCTCGACAAAAAGAAAACAACACACACTCCATCCCTGTCCTTTCGCTACAGGGAAAGTGCCACTTAAGACGGACGGACTCCCAGCGGTTGCGAGGTGCAAATTTTGCTTACGCAAGCGAAACGCTCCCCCACCTCAACACCCCAGCTTGGCCAATCCATTGATCGCAACAATAAACAATGCATTGTTAGGATTGAAAAAAAAGCAAACTAGCGACACAGTGGCGCCATTCGCCTTATTCAGGAAACCACCAACGCCGCCAAATTTAAAATTCTTCGCCAGAATTGACCAAGTCCAGTTCACCAAAAATACTTTCTCTAGAAAATACTTTCTTGCTATTAAATTAAAACATACCTACCTAAGACTTGTCACCTTACAATTTACGTAAACCTTTTTGAATACCCCACCAACTCACCGCTGAATTCATTTAATTTCATGGTAACTAAGTAACCATTATCGACACCGATTGATCTTTATGATTTATGACTTTTATTTCTCGCAAAAAATTATATAATATCAGAAAACAGTGGAGAAAAAACTGCTTAAAAATTCTCGCATGACCATATTAGTCTACATGGAACTCTGACGAACTACATATTGAAGCATATTTGATTCATCCAAAAATCTTAAAATCCTTATATAAAGAACCACAATTAAGCGATTTATCATTAAAATTTTTAAACATTTGTAATAATAATTCATTTTTAATAATAATTTATATATTTAAAATAATAATAAAATAATGGTACTTACATATTAACAAACTTATATACAGAAAATATGAATGAAAATTGTGAGCAAAACAAATGAGATGAATAATAAATGAATATGAATATACCGAAATATATGGGAAAAACTCATTCAAATTATCCTGTTTTTAAAAAAATTTCATAAAAATTCTGAGCAGAAATTTGGCAAAATAATAAAATCTGATGAAAGCACGCATGGATTTTAATATAGTAGTAATAATTGCAGTAATAAATGAATTAAATAACTAAAATTCCAAAAATAACCAATAAATTTCTATTCTTTTATAGTTATATTATTTCGGACAATTTAAAATCTACATGGCTCTATAATTCCAAATTTCAAGATAAATAAGGTTTATGATAAGGTTTAAGCAAATTAGAGCGTAGCTGAGATCAAAAAAATAAATAAATAAAACAGGGCTCATATATCTCAGCGAAAATTGCAAAAATCAATATTTGATTAAAATTAATGATAAGTAAATGATAAGAGATGACATGAAAAAATATAAAACAATAACGATAACAAACTGATTTAAATAAAATAGGTATTTCCAAAGTATGCTTACTTTGAAAATATGCAGCGCAAAAAGAAAGACCACTGAGATCAGAATTAAACCGATCCAAGAAAAAAATTTAATAGCTGTAAAAAAAAGGGAAAAGAAGCTAAAAAAATCAACTACAACAAACTGCAATAAGATACATTGAATGGTAAATACACTCGAATAAATCAAATTTATCACCTAATCGTAATTGGGCTCTAAATTTGGCATATCGAACAATGAAGATTCCAGCAACTGCGTACTAGTCTGATTCATGTTCGTCTCATTAGAAAAGATGATTGGTTCAGAATGTACAGAATATTGAATAGCATCAGAATTTGATTGACAATTGATATCTTTTGTTGAACTCTGTTGATTCATATAAGAATTTTTTGCAACTCGTGCACATGAAAAAATATTAACAGAGTTGCGCACATACTGCTTTTGATTATCTAAAATTATTTCCATTATTGCTCAAATAACTAATCCATACCATAATCTTTTAAGAACTTTTAATTTCGAATAGTTTAGAGAGAAATTATAAACCACTTTGCACTATCATATTGTCTTTGACTGGATTACGAGCACTGGAAGGATGATTGTAGCACTGATAATCAACACTTACTGTTCCTTCTGAAATTTAGACTTGTGAAACCATAATTTAAAGGAATTGAGAACGAAGAAAACTATTTAGAGCGAATACTTCTAAGAAATAAAAATTTTCATAAAATTATCACCCACCAACGTCTGATGAATCTGCCGTGAATCTAGGCACCACACTATTGCTAAATCGATAATTGTTATTCATGGATGAACTTATGGATTTTTTTAATGAAATCGGCTTTATTGGATTCAAAATTCTCGGAATATTTGCAGTCGTTGAATTCTGCTCATTGCTGATTACAGCATCAGGAACTTCAAAAAAATTATTGGAACAAAAATATAGTGGTGGAGTTATAATCGACTCCTCCTTACAATTCTTTTAAAATAAAAAATAATACCAGCCAGCCTATTGTCAAATAATTTGGGAAGAGCAGCATGATCAGTTTGTATTTGTTGCTTTATAGGACGTGTTATGAAGAAATTATTTTCCTGAAATGAGCGTTCGTTCAACGATAGATGATGCCTGATTTGCTGATCGCCACCATTTGCATATATTACTTCATCGACTCCTCCTTAAAATTTCAACCTAAAAATTTTATAGCTAAGAAAATTGACAACTAACACTATCTATAATAAATACACACTAAATCCATAAATTCACTGCCATAAAATCAAGTATCACATAGAAAAAAACTTAAAGAAAAAGAAAAAAGTATATAGTTTACATCTTGAATAAAATAAAATGCAATACTTATTAAGCGATTCCAATTTGGACTTGCAGAAAACTTTAAAAAAAATTTAAAATACCAGATGGAAAATAATTATGAGGTACTGAGACACTACTGCCATTATGTTTCAACTCCACTGGAAAAACTGATTCATCCATTTTTTGTTGTTCAATTGAATCCACTGATTCATCGAATTGTTCATTATTCTAAAACGCCAAACGAAATAAGTTAAAATGTATTGACAAAAACTATTTATCAAATTTCAGAAAAATCTTGAAAGACAATTTTCCATCACCTCGCATTCCAGTGCAACTTTCTTGAGCAAGGTAAACTTTCCAGCCATTGCACGCGATAGATCTACTTTATACGTGCGATAGCTTTTCTGCATTCTGAAAGTAGTACGAAAATATACTATTATATGCCTAGCAATTAATTCCGTTATATATATATATATATATATATTTATATATGAATATACGTGATGATGATGGGAACAGTAGAGACTGTGACCACTAAACTGTGGCTTCAGATTCCATAATATTAGGGAATTTTGTCCAGAAAAGGCGATGGCAAAGGCAAGGGCATTGGGAACAATTAAGATATTGTAGAAGATTCAAGCTCCCAGACTCCCAGACGTCTGGTAAAGAATCCGAAGATAATCCATATCACCCAAAGATGATGAGGGAGTTCTTTTTTATTTTGTATAAACATATATACCAATGGTTATAATATCAACGATTCAAATCCTAGCCAATTCCCTTTTTCCTTTCCAATAATAGACCTTGGGATATACTCTCTGAAAGTTTATCGGCCTTACCTCGATCTTTCAGGTCTTTAGTAGATCGAGATTGAAGAACCCATACCGCCCACAAGAGATGAGAAGAGGATATATATATAGATATGTACTCGTCTATTTTTGTTGGTTAATGGCAAATAATTACTATCCTTAGAATAGCAATCGATCGATTAACCATTTATTTTACCAAGACTTTGGCCCTGTCGGTTATAAAAAAAACTGGCAGGAATTTGATATCTTGGTTATAAGGAAATTACAGGTTTTAAAAATTTGAAAATCAAAAAGATAAATAAATAGAGAGATGGTTATCGAAATGAAACAAAATTAAAGCAAGCAATTAAAACCAAAATAAACCATTTGTCTAATTAAAAAACTGAAAAGAGTTAGAATTGAAGTTGAGAAAAGAAAAATTTTCTTCCAATCAAAATTTTTTTATTTACCTGGTAACATTCATATGTTTGATCACAAATGATCTACCAAATTGGTTCGAAGTTTCACTAGTGGCACTATTTGTTTCAATTTTATCTATTAATATTTCAGAATTAGTATCCTCGTGCCTGCTATCTACCATAATAACATCTGGATTATTGCTTATCTGCCCAGTTTCGCAATTATCGAAATTATGATAATTTCTAAAATAAATTAATAAATTTAAAGTCTGATAAATGAGATGATTGGTGGTTGTAAAAGTCATGATATCCTTAGTGGTTGTAAAAGTCATGATATCCCTGGTGGTTGTAAAAGTCATGATATCCCCCATTTAATATCTAAATTTGTACAAATAAATTGTTTATACAAATAAATTAAATCGAGATTGACTGATTTCTTCGCGAAATATAAGCAGTCATAATGAATAAACCAATTATGAAAGATGACCATAAGACTAACCCACTAGCAATATCGAGTGAATACTGGCTTTTAATGGGTTTTTGTTCGAGAGATGAAATCTTTCCAGAGTCCTGCATAGATGCTCCAGAAGAAAATGATGGACAAGCCAATTTCCGAGCGATTCTTCGCACTGACTGATGAGACTTCGAAGGTGATCTAAAAACATGAAAGCATAAGGACATATAAGAAGCCAATTATTAAATAAAAATTTTTTTCAAACTTACAAACGATAATTATTTCTTCAAATAATGAATAATTATTATCTCAGAATGATTATCACCACATTAAAATTCACGTTCTTTTTGCAATTTTTTTCGTTTAATACTAAGCTATACCCATGCAAATAAAAGGATATGTGTAAATAAAATCATATTTATCGAAGAAACACACCCCAAACCTGTATAATTTATATGTATAATTTAAATTGTGATTTTTGCAATTTCATTAATAATAATTGTAACAATAATTTCATAATAAAAACTGCACAAAATGTATGAAGCAGATATCTTGCCATTCTTATTATTGTCATTCTTATTAAAGAGATGGGATATTTTAATATGGGATAAATGAATAAGTTGCACAAATTAAAATTTAAAAATGAATTAATATAAGATTCCATTAAAATTTCAGAAATAGTGGACAATTTTAATTTTCAATTTGAATTTGATTATTTTGTTTATATTATTTTGTTGTATATTATTTTGATTTTATACTGTGAAAGTGGAGGATGAAAGGCAAAATTTCTCTCTTCTCTTTCTTCTAAAAAATCATCATAAAAAAATTCCTGGTTTGGTTAAACTATCTACTAAGAAACTTCATCGCAAGAAAATGAAAAAAGATGCATAGGTGAATCTCCAAAGCCTCTTAATTTTGAGAATAGGTTTACCCACGACAATGGATAGAAGCCTATGAAAGTTTGAATCTACTTGAAGTAATATAATGCTTAAAAATTCTATACCTGAAGCTCAAGTAAACCGTTAAAATTAAATTTTCATTCAAAATTTTCTACATTTATTTCAACATTACTTTGAACTCTTCTGACAGAACTCGTTATATTGAATAATTTAGGTTGACTAAAAATGGTTAAAATAGATATAAATAAAATCCTTCGAATGAAAAAAAGAAAAATGATCAGTAAAAAAAATAAAACACGAATTAAAAAAAAAGTACTCAAGGATAATATTATCGAATGTAGACTCTGCACGAGAGGAAACAGATTCCGATTCCACTTTTTCCATCGCACCAAGACCTAAACTTGTAACTGAATGGAAATTGGCGATGGACGAACCAGAATCCAGAAATCGCGAAGTTGATGGAACGACGTTTCTTACTGCAATGTTCGCTTAATTTTTTAAATAGTAAGAAAATATTTAATAAAAGAAAAAAATTTTGAAATTTGACTCCAAATTAAATAAATATTTATTAAAATATTTATTAAATATTTAATAAATATTTAATAAATATTTATTAAAACAAATATGCCTAAAACCTCAACTAAAATTTATTACTTTTGCATAAGAACAATAAACCGTCAATAACATTCAGGAAAATAAATAATGCACATTGTACATATTTATTTTTACAAAAAATTATCATGCAAAGCCTAAGACATAACCTTGATATTAATAAAAATAATAAATAATAAAAATAATAATAAAAAGGTAAAGACAAAAAAATATAATTAATAAATTAATTAATAGATAAATTAATAATAAAAAAATACTATTATAAATAAAATACTATAAAACTATTATAAAAGATGAAATATGAATGAGTTGAAAATATGAAATAAAGATGAAATATAAGGCTTCGGATTGATTAAATTTCAAAGATAATTTATGCGAATTATTCTTAAAATCAAGTTTAATAAAATATGTATAAAGTTGGAGCTGTATAAAGTCATTTCAAGTGGTGAATAAAAGTAAACAAATGGCTCAACCATTTCTTAACAATGGCTTTGCTCTTTTCTGATAGCAAATTTAGTTCTATCGGGAACCACAACCCAGTTTTTGCCTCCATCAATCTGAACAAATATGCCGCCGACTATCCCACTCCTTTCCTTGAGTCAAATTACTTTATGTGGCAAATAAGAAATACTGCGATCTAATTTTGATATATATTTTGATAGGCTTAAATAATTTTAATTTAACTTTAATTTGCTTCTTATAGAAGAATTTAAAGATTAATCGTAATATTTCGTAGAAAACAGAATCGAATAAAATATGCCTTATTTTCTTCTTTTTATCCATAAAAAATCTGAATTATAAGTTTATGAAGACAAATGACTAATTAAATCTAAGGTATCTACAAATTCTTAGACGAAAATGTAATATATCATAGCATGGAAAGCTGATGACCTAAGTTCGAAATCTTTAAGAGATGATTTAATATTTTTGAGGATATTTTCACCACTGAAGATCAAATTTTACGTCTCCATATTAATTAAGCAATATTTTATATTTTATATTTTTATATATTTTATGCGATCAAAGTGAAGCAATTAATCAATAAAAATGATTCAAAGGATTTTAAATATGTTATATTTTATGTATTATAATTAATATAATTAATATTTTTATTTTCGATTCATAAATACTCCATACGTGAACTTTTTCCTTTTCTATCTTATTATTATATCCATTTTAGAAAAAGAGTACTTGTTTTACAATCGCAAAAATAATTACGAAATTATAATTAAAATTACGAAAAAATTATACCTTTTTCTCCCTGTCGTCGTAAAACTTCGAGACTCATATCATCATCATCTGATGGTAACGCAAAAGTAACTCGTTTCTCACTTCTCTTAGAAGCTGCTGTCTCGCCATTTTGTATCTTGGCAGTTTTCAGTGACTTCCTTTTCTTGCCCTTTCTCCTATCCTTATTTGTTCGCGACTTTTTGATATTTACCTGAAAAGATTTCATTAAAAGATGAAAATAATCAATGGATTAATTCCAGAGAAAGTTAAGAAAGCTTAGTTAATTTACGCTAAATAAAAACTGGAATATTATTTCTTAGAAAATATGAAATAAACAATGGTGTCAGTTCAAAATCAAAATGGACGCACCGTTTCACTTGGTGAAGCTTTCAGTGATAATTTGAGATCATTACTTCGTTTAATTGAATAAACTTTAGGCAAGATAGTTAATTGATTATTTTTTACGGGTGTGGAAACACTAGTTCGTTCAATTTTGCTGAAAAAATGGAAAACAAATTGAATTTAAAGCTAATAACATACAGTCTAAGATGATCAAACTATTAACATGATTAATACTCTATAGAAAATCTGTTAAAACCGTACTGTTCATCAGGCCTTTTTAAAGTGCTTGTTTGCACATCAGTTAAACGTTGTGGCAGTGGAAGTTCGTAATGCGATGGCGACAGAAGAGAGTGAGTGAGATCTGAAAGTTCCGGTTTATCAACTGATAAGCCATGTCTTGTCTTCATATGATGCGCAAGTGTTCCATATTCTTCAGCGATGAAATAGCACCTTGTTTCCTAAAAATTTCTTTAATCAAAAAATGACGTAAAAAGTTTTTTGATTTAATAAAGTAATATCAAAAAATAATTTTATGCTGGAAAATAAAAATTATGCAAAAAACTTTTTATGCAAAAATTAAAACGAAGTCCGTGAAAATAAGAAAGAAAAATTAATTTTAAAAAACTTGAAAGAATGAAAAATTGATTAAATAAATGGAAAATAAAAATAAACTAAGATTAAACAAAGTATATATATATATATAAACGAAATATAAAAATATAATGAAATATAATGAAAAAAAATGTGGTATCGCATTTTGACCAGTCAATCTTTCGCCTCTTAACATAGCGGAAACTGCTGAGATTTATTTTCTTAATCTTCTACTTAATCACCCTCCCTAACTATAGATTATTACCATTTTTTTCGATAAAATAATTAATATTAATCGCCATTATTACCATTATTATTTCCACTATTACTATTGTTATAATTTATTATCAATACCATTGCCATTTATTAATGTCATATATATTGCTGATTATTATTAATCTGAAATTATGATTCACAACACTACCTATTTATGTGTATTGGCCAAAATTTTTCGTCCTTTAAACCTAGAAAGTTCTTGTTATTTCTAAAAGAATAGATAATTTTTAGATAATTTATTTTATAACATAATTGATCAAGATCTAACGGATTTTAGAACACTAAATCTTTTTACGATAAAAATCTAAAGGCTAAACTCTCGATAATTTAAAAGAGAACTGCATAAAATAGGCCCTTTAAATGTGGCAGGCAAAATGGTTCAAATAATTTAAAAAATAATCACGAAACAATAAAAAATAAAAATAAAGGAATATAAAATTTACATTTCTACGACCTAAATAAATTAAAAATTTTTTCAGATACAAATTCACGGAAAAGGAAAAAAGAGAAGAGAAAGAGAAAAAAAAGAAAAACCTTTGAATTGCACTGGTATAACATATTATAGGGGAAATTATCAAAAATTTTTCCATCGCCAACCCATGCAAGACCTAAAAATATTTCATTAATCAATATTATCATTCATAGCATTGTTATTCAGTTATTCAGCCTTATCCTAACAATTCCACTGAATCAGAGTCGCACCCTAAATTTAAAGATAAATTAAAAGAAAGAAGAGACGGCAGCCAAGTAGACAATGCCTCAGATTACCACAGTGAGATGCAATGATCTCGCCTTGAAGACATGATGGTGCTAATGATCCACTTATATTTTTGTCGCTAAATGGTAAAAATGGTCTCTCTGGTAGAAAATTTCTTATAATACTAATTTCCAGGTATTACAGAAGCAGTGATCGCTGGCTATTTATTAATTTAAATTTAGGGTTAGAAGTGCAGATCAGTTCTCAGCCCCAAATTCCTTTTGTAGAAATTTTTCTAAGAGTTTATTTCTGATCAAGGACCCTCCGCTGGGTCGTTGGACCAGATAAAAATTACTGAGAATTCATACAATAATAAAAATTACTGACGAAAATGCATGTGAGTCACTATTATTAACCGGTTTTTCAGAAAGATAGGTTTATTTCTGCTGGAAATGCAGCACCATCACCAGCGAAATGATAAGAATAACCCATTTTTAAAGATATATTTGATCTTATGAACCGAAATGAGTTGGACCTAAGCTGCTTATGCTCAAATGAGGCAAGTCAATCAACGCGGTATACCAATCATAAAATTAACTGTTTGGAAACTAATTTAGTTATGAGACTTATATCATTTATATTTCATAAATTTAATTTAATGATATTTGTAGAACATTAGATATTTTTCACAAAAAAAACAGATTGAGATTGGGGCCGCGGCCTCATTTTTTCCTCGGCAAAGGTGTACTAGAATAAGAAGCTAACACCACATCGATAAGCTAAATAGGTCCCGTAATGCACAGTAACACTGAGTAACACTGACAAAAAAGGGAACGCTCACTTCGCGTTGACATCATTTCACCAGAGTAATGACATTCCGGCAATTTTTTCGTTTTGAATTGTTCGGGAACACTTTTATCAGCTTCTTCCTTCCATAAAATCCATTTGTGAAATATTTCCTTATCACCATCGCATTGCATTTTATCATCCAATTTAGTAGTAGATTTATATCACAGTATAGAAGGTTATCACAAAAAAAGAAAACAAAGGCAATTAATAATAACAATAATAACAATAAGCAGTAGTAGTCATCGTACAGTCACAAATATTTTCTCTTCCAAACTGGGTTTTAATAACGTCGGTTGGTGATCAGTTGCTTGAAAAAAAGGAAAAGGTGGAGTATATCCCTTCACACTCCTTCTATACCCGTATCCTCCTCGAAACTGTATATCTAAAAATGAAGGTCATAGTTCAAAATTAATATATTAATTATTGATTGGCGACCATCCGACGTGTTTAGCCCTAAAGAAGCTGACAATTAGAGGTGACAAATCTCTTCTTCGTCGTATTTCTCATCGAAGCTAATTGATACCAAATTTTCGGATAAAAAAAGGATTTTTAGGAAAAAAAGAGGATAAAAGTAGTTTTTGAAAATATTTTAATTGATTAATGAATTTTTCCTTTTCCTTGGAAAAATTTTACAAAAAAATTCTTTAATATTAAATGGAAAAAGGAATTGCGAAATGAAACAATCGCCCGCAAGGTTCCTCCAAAAAGAATTTCCCAACTTTTTCTCAAATAAGAAAAATAAATTTTAACAAATAAATTTTACAGTGACAATAGGGTGAATTTTTGCGATTAGAACAATATTTTTGGGCTTTCGAACAGAATTTTTAAATTTTGCACTACGGTACTTTTTTTAAATCATGTTTTTAAAAAAAAATGCACGTAAAAAATGGGGGAGTGAGGGTAGGGGGGTTCGCAATAGAAGGAAGGGTGGAAGTGGGTTCTCTAATTATTATGTGTGAAGCCTTGGCTAGAACCTTGGCGTAGGCTTTAAATGTATAGTCAAAATAGGAAGGACTGATGCCAGGTGTGTGTCTGGAATTTCGCTAGTCGAAACTTTTTTATTCTCAAACTTGGGTAGTTGAAAAGTAAACGATGTGGGGAGAAATAAAATTTTCCTTTCTAGCAAAAGTTGTCTGGTCCGATGACAAACCAGCGATGCGATGGTGAGCATTGCCAAATCGCCGTTGAATACTGTAATACTTGAATACCGTCCCACTTCCCATTTATTCGAAAATTCCTTCTTAAAAATTGGTTCTCCGTTTGCTTCTGAGATTCTCTTTAATCCTGTTAATTATCTATTATTATATATCCTCTTAGATGTTGTGCATAACCCTTCAAGTCTTTAAAGCCTCGCCTTATTTCCCGAGTAATTTCTTCGGAATATATTGCATTAATTTATCAGTTTCTTGTACATATGATGAAAAGACTTTCGTTTTATTTATATTGACCCTGAGCCCGATTCTCGCTGCAGTTGCTGACACGTTATTTAGTAATTATTTCGTCATAACTGTCAGCAAAAAGGACTTCATCAGCGTATTCAAGATTTGTTATATGATGCTCTGGACTGAATCGTATTCAGTCTATCGCATAGTTGAATATTGTAGGGGAAAGGCCGCATCCTTGACGGACACCAGTTCTTATTTCTATCAATTCTATCAATTCCCCATATGCACAGACCTGCGTTGACGTGCGCTCATAAAATGCCTTTATTATGAGTTGAATGATCTTCTCTGGAACACCGTTGCATTCCATCATCCTCCAAAGCGCCTTTCTATCAATTGAATTAAAGGCAGCCGATGAAACATATGACAGTGGGTTGTAAATATTTCAAGCGATGTTTCAACACCTTTTTTAACGTGAATATATGGTCAGCAATCGCGCTTCGGTTTGAATCCAGCTTGATTAGAGCGCATCCTGCTATCCCGAGGTCCATAAGTTTGCTGAATAGCAGGGAAGCAAAAATTTTTGCGTCTAGTAGGCCGATTCCTTGATAATTGTCGCAGTATGTTCCATCACCTTTCTTGAGAATTGGGAGCAGAATTGCTTTGCTTCAATCATCTGGTAATATTTCTTTTTTCCATACTAAAGAGTACATTTGTTGAAGGTGCGTTATGAAAGACGATGGACAGCATTTGAAAAGCTCAGCCCGAAGACCATTTTTTCCTGGAAATTTATTGGCCTTAAGCTTATGGATAACTGAAATTATTTCTTCTTCTGTTGCAAGCTAGTTTGCAAGCTTATGCTTCGGCAAACGTATCAGCTATATCAGAGGCAACAGATGGTGCTTCATGGTTAAATTTGGCCTCAAAGAATTCCTTCCATCTTATAAGGCAATCCTTAATACTTTTAATTAGTACGCCATTGCTGTCTCTTACCATTTCACTGTTCGTTCCCCGAGTCATAATTGCTTTATGAAGAAAGCAGAATAGTTTCCTATTGTCGCCTAATCGGACCGCCGCCTCCATTCTTGAGAGCCGCCATGTCACTCCAATAGAGATTTCTGTTTCGCCTTGCTGGTTTCGTTGCAAATCTTCGAAGCACCTGGTAGTCAAGATCATCAGGATCACCTGACATTCGTGCTTTGGCAGCTTTTTCAGATAATTGGACAGTTGCTTCCGATACCCAACTAGCGCACTTTCTACTAGTATGCCCTAGCGTGGAAGTGGCTGATTTTCGGAGACATTCCTTTAGTTTGGACCAGTATTCATTTGCTGTTCCAGAAAAATCATTGATATTTGTATTATTGAGATGCTTCAATAATTCGATTTGTTTAGTTTTTTTGCTTTTTATGATTAATTTACCATGAAATTTAGAAAAAAATTAGTAACTTTTGCATTAATTGGGAATAGTCACTTACCTTATAGTATTGGCTAGACGCATCCTCGACTATTTTTTTCAAATAATTTCCAGAAATTATTATCAAAAATTTGATAGAATTATCTTGTTAACAATCTTTAGAATTTTCGTTATTCCTAATCTGATAATCTTTTATAATCTTTATAAATATAAAATCTTTTATAATCTTTTAAATATAAAATTAGTTATCTTGTGAAAGAATTACATTATTTAGCGACTAGGCACTATAAAAATCGGTTTTACGCGCCTTTTTTGGCTTTTCGTTAAATTAAAATTATTCTCTTTATTCTAACTCTTATACTCTTTATTCTTTTGGTTTGCCTAGCTCTAGTGGTTCGAAAACCGCGCTGGTTTCTCATTTTCTAGTTAATTTATTTTTCCGTCGAAAAGCAAGGTAAAACAGTTCAATAGTTTGAAATAAGCCGAAAATATTATTTGCTTATTCTATCCCCACTATGAATTAATTTTATAAAGTAAATTGAAATCGCTCATACAAACCTAAAGTTATTTAATTACTAAAACTTACATGCATATAAATACATTTAAAAAATAAATTAAAATAAAAATCAAGATAAATTTCATAAAATTTTATAAATAAATTTATTGATCATATTTCAAATTTACTCAAAAAAGTCAAATAATTTCGAATAATTTTTTCTCATTTATCGATATTTTCTCAAATTTTGCTAATTTTGCTTTGATAATCGTAAATTATTGATAAAATTTGTTTAATTATTAACTTTTATTTTTATATTTATTTTCATTTTCATATTTAAGTCGTCATTTCAAAATTTCCAAGTATTTTATTTTTATTTTCAAAAAAGAATTTCTATTTTTCCTCTTCAGCTATTTTCATATTATTCTATATAGTGGAATAAAATTGAATTTTCTTTTTTTTTTAGATTTCGTCTTCTATTCGTGGAGATTTTTCTAAAAATCTTTATTTTCTAAAAATCTTATAGTTTTATTGTTATGCTTATCTATCTTTAATAGTAAATTTTATTTGTATATATATTTAATATATATATTTTTTATACTTTATCATATTCATATATTCTTTTTTTTCTGTTTTGTGCGAAGAGAGATCTTATCATTGTTCTATGAATATTTATGAAATTTTAATCAGTTTTCTTCTGATATATTGTTTTTCTTCATTGGTATTAAAGATAATGTTGTAAATTCAAATTTAACTGGGAAAAGGAGATGAATTTTTAAAGAAATTTTCCTTTAAATAGAAAAAAAGGATGAATTGAAAACGAATTAATAAGTCAATTAATTAATAAGTTGTCAAAATTGTCATAAGTTGCATAAAATGTTTACCGTTTCTGGTTAGAGCTGCGCCATAAATCTGGCTTCTAGAATAATTTTTGCCGAGGAGTCCATGGCAATAGATACATTGATGGGTCGCCAGCACCACCCGGATTTATGAAATATCTACTGATAGTAGAACTCTAATATCAACAATGCACCATCCAATGAGCCATCCAATTTTCTCAATTATTAGTTAATAATAATATTATTACTATTATTTGCTTATTAATTATAATAATTTGTCGTTTATTTATTTAAATACACTTAAATACATTTTTTTCGTAATCGTTAAACCAGATTTTTACGCATTTTATTTATAATATTTGCAATATTAAATACAATACCCTTTGCTTTTTTATTAAGAATTTTTTCTTTTGCGTTTATGTTTATGTTTTCTTAGAATAAAAGTGATTATTGAAAATTTCAATAAATTTAATCTTTAAGTTGAAATAGACTTATTGAACGAACAGTCTTGAAACAATCCACTAAATTATTTTTAAGTGATCTTAAATAATAATAAAAGTAATAAATTAAATTAAAAAACTAATAATAATAATTTTATCGAATATCGAAATAATATTGAAAATATTCCGGGCATATCTATCCGAATATTATTTTAGTTAATAATTTTTTCCACTTTTTTTTTAAATGCAAAATATTAGAATTACTATAAATTATTAATAATTATCACTATTTTTTTTTAAAAGCCATTACTAATTAGACTCGCTCATCTGGCTTGTTGCGCTAGATAAATATGCCAGAGAGTCGATAGAAGATGAGTCGCCAGCATCACTCGAATTATCACTATTATCTATTATTTAAAAGCTAATTTTTATTTTCTCATCGCTATTTTCATAATTGCCATTGTTATAAATATCTATATTATTAATGGGTTATTAAGGTTATGAGTGAATTATAAAAATATTTTTAAAAATCTAAAAGTATTTTTATAAATATTTTGTAT